CCCCTTTTTTTTTTCCGGGCCGGGTTTTCCTCGGGGGGGTGGGGCGGGGGACTTCGAAAACACTTTTTTCCCAAAAAAATCCAGGGGTGGGCCAACCAAGGCCTTCCCCCCGGGGCTTTAGAGACCTGCCCGGGGCCGCCCGCCCCCCTTTCCTCGGTTAAGCCCGAAGGCCCCCCGCCCCGGGGGAAGGGCCCCCCGCGGGCAGCCGGCGTTTTCCGCTCGGCCGTTCTGGAAGGTGCGCTGAGCGAGAACGGAGGGCACAAAGCGCTGAGTCCTGCGAGTTGCCAGCGCTGTGGATGGAGAGTTTCCGAGGCGGCCCCCGGGACGCCGCACCTGTGTGCACCTGCAGGCGAGCGGCGCGCGAGGGCGCGCGCTGCACCTGTGCCTTAGGCAAAGGGAGAACCTTACGGGTGTTAAACGTTTCTTTCCTTTCCTCCGTGTTTCAGCTGTGATTCCCGGTTTCGGGAAGGAATAGCTTTGGAAATTGGAGTTATTCTTGCAGGAGGCATGCGGGATACTTTGAAAAGTTCATGGAAACCAGATTTAAAAGATACCATTTGGGTGCCAAGAGTTTTTGAAAGCCATGCATAGTGTTATCGTGATACTCGTTTTCCAAGGGTGCTTTTGAAGCCTCATGTGTGGATTTACAATTTTTTTTTTGCACTAAGATACACATACCCTTTTAAAAAGCTGATCTTTAAAATTGATTTTTATCTTATTTGAAAGGTGGGGCGGGGCAGGCGTTTGGTCTAGCACTTACGACCCCACTTGGGACACCACGTGGCACATTGGACTGCTGGGGTCCAGGTCCTGGCACGGCTGCTGACTCCAGTTTCCTGCCAATGCACACCATGGGAAGCAGGGGTGATGCCTTGTTGTTCCGAGCCAGCGAGTGCTGACAGAGGAGCTCCCCACACTGATACATTTTAGAGTCCTTTACTGCCGGAGGCCCAGAGCGGGTTCACACCCCAAAGAACTCTGGACCCCGAAGCCCAAAGCAGCAGGGTTTATAAAGGCAAAAAACACAAAATCGGGAGGGGAATACGTGGTTACCGGGGTCAAGCTAACCTAACGCCTATGTGAAACTAATATCAATTATAATCTTAATAATACCAGTTACAATCTTAACAATTTCAATTATAATCTTGACATTAATCCAGGTATTGGCTTAAATCATGTAGGACAGAGACAAGTTACTATCTATTAATCCAGGTGCAGTCTATCTGCTTCCAAGCCTGAGCAATCATGCTGGGGAGTTTCTAGGCTCTGCCCAGTGTGATGTAGGGGACTGCTATTGTCTGAGTGCTTTAGATCATAGTTTCAGACCAGAGTCTCGTGGTGGTGGGGTACCTTCCCAGGATGGAGTCCCTACTGCCAAGGTGTTACTTCAGCCTGAAGCAGTTGGGACTTGGACTTGGCCCAGTCCTTGCGGCTGGGGCAGAAGGGACACACACACAAACTCACACACACACACACACACAATCTCCCATCCACTGGTTCACTTCCCAAATGCCCCCAACAGCCAGGGCTGGGCCAAGCCGAATCTGGGATCCAGAAACTCCATCTGGGTCTCCTGTGTGGGTGGCAGGGACCCCATTGCGTGAGCCAGCACCTGCTGCCTGCCAGGGTGTGCACAAGCAGGGAGCTGGGAGCGGGAGCTGAAGCAGGACTAGAATCCAGGCGCTCCCATACAGGATGTGGGTGTCCATTCCAAGAGGCATCTTAACTGCTGTGCCGGATACCTGCCCCTCTGCTAGCTTTTTGATACACCCTCGAATTTCTTCATGTAGATGGAGGAGAGATAAGGTGCGGAGGGTCATTGAAACAGAATCCTGTGCAGAGAGTTAGCTACTGTTTAATAGGAAGGAGTGTGGCTTATAGCCAGAAAAACAGGAATTTAAATGGCAGCTCTGATGTATCCTGACATGGGACAAACTTTCCCCCCAGCTCCCTTTTTTTTTTTTTTTTTTTTTTGTGACAGGCAGAGTGGACAGTGAGAGAGAGAGACAGAGAGAAAGGTCTTCCTTTGCCGTTGGTTCACCCTCCAATGGCCGCCGCGGCCGGCACACTGCGCTGATCCAAAGCCAAGAGCCAGGTGCTTCTCCTGGTCTCCCATGCGGGTGCAGGGCCCAAGCACTTGGGCCATCCTCCACTGCACTCCCGGGCCACAGCAGAGAGCTGGCCTGGAAGAGGGGCAACCGGGACAGAATCTGGTGCCTCCCCAGCTCCCTTTGGAAAACGAGGATCGTGTGTGTACCTCTCAGTCATCTTCAGGATGAAGGACTGTGTATAAAGTGCTTGGCACGTGCTGTGGCGCAGTAGATTAATCCTCCACCTGTGGCACCAGCATCCCATATGGGCACCAGTTCTAGTCCCGGCTGCTCCTCTTCCCATCCAGCTCTCTGCTGTAGCCCGGAAGGGCAGTGGAGGATGGCCCAAGTCCATCTCTCTGCACCTGCGTGGGTGACAGGGAAGAAGCACCTGGCTCCTGGCTTTGAATCAACGCAGCGCCACCTGTTGCGGCCATTTGGGGGATGAACCAATGGAAGGAAGACCTTTCTCTCTGTGTCTCCCTCTCACTGTCTGTAACTCTACCTGTCAAATAAATAAATAAAATCTTAAAAAAAAAAATAAAGTGCTTGGCATGGCGCCTGACACTAGGAAAAGAATAGTTTGCTACCCCTTTTGGTCTACCTGGAACTTTGTATTTTCTCTGTTCCAGTGTGGAGCTCTATAGGCAAGCGTTAAGTGGTGTGCCTGCCACCTCTGCCCATGGCAGGTGCACATCGTTGGAGCCAGAGCTGGTTGCTCCACCTTCTGCCCCTGCTCTCCCTAGCGAGTGCTCCTTTGATGGGAACTACCTCACGGCATTACATTTGTATAGTGTCTTTCCTCAATCCAGCTCCTTTAACAACCACAATTCTGCCCTTTCTCTTGGTATCCCAACACTTAGCTTCTTGTAGGAGCACAGAAAGTGTTTGTGGGATGAATGAATGAATGAATGAATGCAACAGTGGTGAGCATTCTGGAGCTTCTTTGCCTCACCTGGAAGGTGAGCCGTCGTTAGCGGCTCCAGAATTCTAAGATCCTGTGTGCTCTTAGCGAGTGGTCAGGATGGGGCACGTGGCGCCGAGTGGCCAAGGAGGTCACACACGTGCCCCTGTGCACAGAGCCTGTGAGTGTGGGTTGGCGGGGGCGGCTGCGTGACCTGGGGCATGTGACCGCCCTTGCCGATTCTCCCTTTCTTTCCTCTTTCAAATGAGAGGGTGGTCCATGTTTTTGAGGCCCTTTTAACTGTAATTAATTTGTGTTCATGTGTTACTGTTTTCATATTCATTTTTTATATTCATTTTAAATTCTTTTTTTTTTTTTTTAGATTTTTTTTTTTTTTTTGAGAGGCAGAGTGGACAGTGAGAGAGAGAGACAGAGAGAGAAAGGTCTTCCTTTGCCGTTGGTTCACCCTCCAATGGCCGCCGCGGCCGGCGCACCGCGCTGATCCAATGGCAGGAGCCAGGAGCCAGGTGCTTTTTCCTGGTCTCCCATGGGGTGCAGGGCCCAAGCACCTGGGCCATCCTCCACTGCACTCCCTGGCCATAGCAGAGAGCTGGCCTGGAAGAGGGGCAACCGGGACAGAATCCGGCGCCCCAACCGGGACTAGAACCCGGTGTGCCGGCGCCGCAAGGTGGAGGATTAACCTATTGAGCCACGGCGCCGGCTTAAATTCTTTTTTAATGATTTATTTAGGCAGAGTTAGAGGAAGAGAGAGAGAGGAAGAGAGAGAGAGAAAGAGAGAGAGAGGAAGAGAGAGAGAGGAAGAGAGAGAGAGGAGAGAGAGAGAGAAAGAGAGAGAGAGAGAAAGAGAGAGAGAGAGAAAGAGAGAGAGAGAGAGAGAAAGAGAGAGAGAGAAAGAGAGAGAGAAAGAGAGAGAGAAAGAGAAAGAGAGAGAGAGAGAGAGAGAGAGAGAGAAAGAGAGCGCCCGGGCTTCAACCCACTGGCTCACTCCCCCAATAGCTGCAACAGCTGGGACTGGGCCAGGCTGAAGCTGGGAGCCCATCGCTCCACCTGGGTCTCTCAAGCAGGTGCAGGGGCCCAAGCACTGGGCCATCTTCCACTGCTTTCCCAGGTGCATTAGCAGGGAGCCGGATTGGAAGTCGAGCAGCCGGGATTTGAACTGGTGCCATATGGGATGCCAGTGTTGTAGGCAACCTCTTAACCCAGTAGGCCACAATGCGGGCCCCTGCTGTTAGATTCTGACTCGTTCCTCCCTAGGGTTTTCTGTGAGCCAGGCGGTCCCCAGGGGAAAGAGAATGCCTAGTGAGCCAGCAGCCTGCCTGTTTGGCTAATGGGAGGTGACTGAGCTGTGGAAAGTGGCCCAGAAGCCAATTTTATCTGCATTAAGGGATAATTTACTAGTACATTCAGGTAATATGAGCCTTTTAAACTGATCAAACTGTGACTGGGACAGTGATTTATGGAAATTAGATAGTCATCACTCAGTTAATTTTTTTGCTGTGTGACATTTTAAATGTAATATATATAGTGGCTGAGTTCTTCATTCAAAGGAAAATAGAATAATTCATAAAAAAATTAGAGCAATGGAAGCTTGTTTTTCCTCTCACTTTGGGTCATTCTCTTTTTTTTAACTTATTTTTCTTTGAAAGGCAGAGAGAGGAATAGAGCCTGAGACAGATGGAGAGCGCTCCCACCTGCACTCCGCAGATGACCGCACAGAGAGGGCTGGGCCGG